CCGGAGATCTGTCTCCATGGCAACTCTGGATCCTCTCAGGTTGGCCATCAGTAGCTACCAGCGCAGGTTTGATTTGTTAAAACATCGCCAGGTTGTGGTCAAGGGGTCCTAGAGAGGCTGTGCTGTTCTTCGATTACAAGGAAGAATGGAGCGTTTGATGGGACGGAAACGTGAACTCTGAATGAGGATACTGTTCCCTGTGGAGAAAGTCTATCAGAGGAATATGGGATCTCCTCCACCTGAGCTCCCTGCCGCCAGGATGTTCCCTTCTCCCAGCCTTCTCTACTTGTTTTGATATACTTTGAGAGAAGACACAGAAAGGGTTAAATTTCCCATCATCCAATGCATCAAACACATCAAGATATTTTCCCAAAAGGTCTAATGGACTCTGGTGAACTCTGAAGCATGGCCATCCGCCAGCTTCTTGCTCTCAACTGGAGCGTGTGGGACAGAAGTCGTGGCTGTTTGTTCAGTGCGATGAAGCGGAGCTGAGGCAGAGAGCGGTTGATCCACACTTGAGGAACCTGAGCTCTCAGCATCTCCCCGGATACTCATTAGAAGCCCTGACCACACCCACTCCCCCCAACCCCACCCACAGCCTCCTTCCCCTTCCCTGAGTCTAAAAAGTATAACGTTAATTAATTAATTAATAACAGGGCCAATCAGGACAATTAACTGTGGGTCTCTCAGCTTCCAGTCTTTAAAACTCAGTCCACGTGGATGAGGCATATGGCAAGGCATGCTGGGAAACTCTCTCACAGGGCCCAGTGCTACATGGAAACCCGTGACCCCCTTTTCAGAAATTAGTCAGAATTCCAAGATGGCGGCAGAGGGCCGCATAGCTAAGGACTGGGACCCTTTACGTGCCTCAGGAAGACGACTCCGGTCGGTAAGGAGGTGACAGCAGCTTGTGGGGAGCTGTGTGCAATGCAGGAGGAGCTGACAGAGATGATAACCCTGGAATGAGCCGGATCATGCTGAGGGGATAGTGAGAGGAACAAGCATGGGGACAGCATGGCATGGGCAGCATCTCGGGCATCATGGCTGCAGACCTCAGGCCTGAGGCCACTGGCAATAAGCAGCCTTTCTCTGGTTCATTCCTATTTACATGATACCACTTCTTCTCTATTCTTTGCAGCCATACATAGAAGAAATCTGCGAAAGCCTTCGAGGGGATATTTTCCAAAAGTTTATGGAAAGGTATGCAGCTTTGGCGTGTGCACAATACATTTCCCCCGGTATGTGTTGCTTTATCGCTCCACAGACCCTTCCTGGCCAGCCCTTTGTCACATGTCCTCCTTGATGCTTTATGTTATAGCTCTGGGGTGTGTAGCCCTTGGCCCCCACATTCTACTTCAGCATGTTCTAAGAGTGAGACAGCCTGGGGAACTTCCATTTTGCAAGGATCATAAGGGAAGCCTTGGCTAATTCAGCATGGTGGCTGTGTTTTATCCAACTTACGTCTTAGGATCTTGAGACATGTCTCCCAAGGCAGGACAAGCTGGAAAGGACAGACTGTGTACTCACGGGCATTGTTTGCACACTTGATGAATTCACCTCCGTGCGTTTCCAGGCTGCAGAGTAGTGTGTCATCTGATACTCTGAAGTGGGTCGGCTCCCCTTGAGCTGTCTATGCATGTGTCTCCCAGTCATTTTGCACGCAGGGCTCCAAGCATCCGAGAGCAGTCCGCCCCCCAACCATGTGTGTTTCCCTTGACTGCACCGGTTGTGATTCTACCAGAATGGAGAAATAATTTACCCTGGAATGCACTCAGTATCTTGGGGACTGACATTCATAAACATGATCCTTGGCCTCTGATACTGGGGCCAGTGGAAAGCTCTGGAAAGAGGCTCAGTAAAGCCAGAGAGGAATGCAGGCTCGCAGCTGAGCTTTGGCCTCATCCGAGACCAGCCCCACTGCCTAGGTTTCTCAAATCTGGCTCCCACCTCTGAGTCCATCTTAGTCTTGTATGACTGGGTTTCACTTGTTCCATGCCTTGAGTCTGGTCTGTCTTTACCTTAAGAGTTGGTGATTCCCCATCATGAGATACCAGGGGTGTGACTTGCATTGTAGGCAACACACACACACACACACACACACACACACACACACACAGACCCTAGGGTGTGAAAACATGTTTTAAGGCAGTTCAAGTTTTAGGCAAATAAATTACTTTGAAAATCAAGTTGTTCATTTCAACATTTTAGTTTGAATTCTCAAAGTTTAAAAAAAAAAAAGAAAGAAAAGAAACAAAGAAAAAGAGAAAAACATGCTCGCTTGCCATGAGTGTGGACCTTGGGTTTGGGTGATAGGCCTTGACCGTCACCAGAGTTATGCAGGCAGGTAAGGTGGGTGGTGCGCTAAGGGGCTTGAGGGCTTTCCTGTGAGCCCTGCCATCTGTTGGGAAGGAGGAGAAACCTCAGCAGTGTGGCTGTGGCTCCCTGCTGCTTCTGAGGAGCACAGAAGCTGAGAGGAGAAAGGCTGGGAGCCCAGCTAACACAATGACCCTCTTGTCCTGAGCATCAGGGTCAGAGCTGGAGTGGCAGCAGGTGAGCCTGAGCCTCTCCCACATCCAAGTTTTACCCTCTTTACCCTTTGACCTCCTGAGGACCTTGGGCTCTGGCTGCCAAAGGCCCCTGGTCCCAAGAGGTTTGCACTCTGTACCCAGGTGACCCCGGAGCAGAGACTCTGGCACACAACCAGGGGACATCTGTGCCCCCTGAGGAGTCTGCCCCAGCAAGTTCATGCTTAGCTGGCCAACAGTGCGGGCTATTCCAGCCCCTGAGCTAACCAGAACTCTAAGGCTGGTTGTAAATATGACAGATCCTGTTGAGCCCAGACTCTGAGAAGAGGGGAGTCCAAATGCACATGAACCAGTGTGTTCCTAGACTGTGAGCCTTGTAGAGATGTTGGAGGGTCAGAGGGAGACCCTCTAGAGGCCATTGTCAGGTTCAAGGGGAAAGTTGCTGTGTGCTCAAAAAGACCACTGGGATTTGGGTCATTGGCATCGGAAGCGTTTTTATTCAGGATCTGTTTAATGATTCCGTGTGTGTGTGTGTGTGTGTGTGTGTGTGTGTGTGTATACGTAGGCACAGCAGTTAGCAACTTAAGCTTTCTCCTAGGAGATTTTATAAGATCTCCCCTTCCCCTCCATTTAAAGAACCTTGGACTCTGTGTCTTTTTAAGGAATCAGTCAGGGATTAGGTGAGATGCAACCTCTGGTCCTCCTCACCCCTTCCTTCCCCTCCTGCTCCTCTCCCTTTCTCTGCCCCTCCCCTCCTTTCCCTCCCCCAATTCTCCCTTCCTTACTCCCCACCCCTTTCTTCTTTCTCTAGCTCTAAGGATTGAATCCATACCTGTCAGGTAGACATTCTACCACCGCACAGCACTACCCCAGCCCACAGTCTGCATTTCTTCTGGATGTCTATAATAACAACGCCACATGGACAACCTGCTCACTGATGAATAAGCAAACATAGTGATGTCTGTGCTAAGAAGAAGGAGGGTAGACATGTGTCCACTGAGTCCATTTGTCCTTTGGGTTGTTGAGAACAGAAGTGGAAATCTCTAGGGAACCAATGACCTTTGGCAACCAGAGCCCAAGGTCCTCAGGAGGTCAGAGGGTAAAACTTGGATGTGAGAGGGGCTCAGGCTCACCTGCTGCCACTCCAGCTTTGACTCTGATGCTCAGGACAAGAGGGTCATTGTGTCAGCTGGACTCCCAGCCTTCCTACTCTCAGCTCCTGTGCTCCCCAGAAGCAGCAGGGAGCCACAGCCACACTGCTGAGGTTTCTCCTCCTTCCCAACAGATGGCAGGGCTCACAGGAAAGCCCTCAAGGCCCTTAGCGCACCACCCTCCTGCCTGCACAACTCTGGTGATGGTCAAGGCCCGTGCTTCCTAAACCCAAGCTCCACACTCACAGCAAGCATGCATGTTTGAAAAATATGCGTGAATGAAGACAGTGACTAGCAAGCACTAGGGAAGGCCGGTGTGAGCAGCTCTCTGCTGTATTCCATGCGTCTCTGAAGAGTTCAGGAGCCTGTTGGTCTGGGTCCATCTGCTCACCCACGCATGACCTTTGCCCAGCATCATTTGCTGGCTTTGGTCTTGGCAGTAAAGTGGGGTCAGGCTGCCCCTGGTTCGCGGAGCTGTTGGAAGGAGTCAATGAGTCTTGTGGATTGGACAGGCAGTGACCGCAGGCTGTGTTCGCTACTCTTAGAATTGTTTGTGTGCATTGCTTGTCTTTTTTGGTTGTTTAGAACAGAAGGTCTAAAAGAGTGGTCATGAGTCATCTGTAGCTACAAATTGAAATGTCCCCGGAGTACAGAAGAAGCCAGCTCTCAGTGGTAGTGATTTTCACTGATCTCAAAGTAGAAACTTTGTTGCACCGGTTTGCACCAATGCACCGTTAAATTCAAATTATACATGGGCACATGGCAGTTGAGGAGAGCCACGGAGTCTTTCATTTAAACAGAAAGATATTTTATTTTGTGAATTGTATCTCATCACACCTGCCCTCCTCCCTCCAGCTATTCCTCATCCCTTCAGCTCCTCCCTCCTCTAGCTCCTCCTCCCCCCCCAGATACTCCCCCTCCCTCCAGCTACTCCTCCCTCCAGCTACTACTCCTCCTTCCAGCTACTCCCATGTTTGTCTCCTCCCAAGTTCATGGTCTTGTCTATAATGGCTATTGCTATGTGTATATACATGTGAATTTATATGTATAAGTGCATGTGTACACATATTCACACGGATATGTAGCCTGAGTTCATTTAGCTTTGCTCACATGTACATGTGTGCAGAACTGGTCACATGGGATTAAACCTATATGGGTGCTTATCCAAAGTAGACTGGTTTTCATTTAGGGGTGGGACCATGTGAAATGTCTCCTGTCCCCATTGGTAGGTCACCTGGTATTGCCACTGTGCTGGTTTTGTTCGGGCAACCATATTGCTAAGAGTTCGTGGGTGCAGTGTCCTTGTTGTACATTGGTCTTCTGGTCTTATAATCTGTCTGCTTCCTCTTCCAAGATTTTCCTGAGCTAGAGGTGCAGGGGTTGTGTTGGAGGCATGCCAGTTTGTGGTGTCTGAGAATGTTTTCCTTGCATGAGAGGCAGCACAGGAGTTAGATTCCATCCCATCCCGTAGGCTCTTCTAGAACTCCAGTTAGGTGCTTACAGAACTCTCTAATAAGTTACTTATATTCTCTTTCAGCGATAAATTCACTAGATTCTGTCAGTGGAAGAACGTGGAATTGAATATTCACGTGAGTACCATACTTTTCTGCCTCCCCCGCCCCCTTTTAAATAAAAACTTCCTCTGCCCTAATGTCGTGAGAAAATGCTTTGTTCTGGAACGTTCTCCCCAAGGGTATGTGGCGCAGCGCAGAACAGCACAGATGTGCTTCTTACAAGTCCGTGGAACTAAAAGCTGGGCTCCCATGCTCAGTGATAAGCAGTTGCGACCTTAACTTTCTTTCCTCGTGTGTGTGTGTGTGTGTGTGTGTGTGTGTGTGTGTGTGTGTATGAGCTTATGTACGTAAGAAGGGCTATTTTAGGTTGCAATTGATTGACCCTTTACCAAAAATATAACAGTGGCCATGGAAGCCTTCCATTCACTATCACGTCTGCTCAGCCTGGGCTCTTGCCACACTGCAAAGTTCCTTTCACCTATCTTACTGGAGGATATAGTAAAATGAGCAGAATAGTTTTCTAGCATCACGTTTCAGGGTTGTTTGGTTTCCTTTTTCTTACTTTGGACTAGGCAGAGGTGGGGGCTGGGTATTCAGCTCAGTGGTGGAACACTGGGCTAGCCAGTCTCTCGTTCTCTCTTTCTTTCTCTCTCTCTCTCTCTCTCTCTTTCTCACACACATGCACACACACACATGCATACACACACACATAGAAAAAGAGAGAGAGAATGAGAGAATGAGAGAGAGAGAGAGAGAGAGAGAGAGAGAGAGAGAGAGAGAGACAGAGGGCGTAACAACAAGCCCAGGGAAATTCAACAGAGTGACCCTTGACCACAGGCTGCCTGCTGCATGGTTTCTAGGTATCTCACCATCCTCTAAGCGGAAATGTCAGTCACTCTAGGAAAGGACTGCTCTGAGGGTCATGTTTGGATGCACAGTTCTGTCTCCACCCTCCCCTCTCCTCACATGGATCTTCTGGAAATACAGGGTTTGGATTGGATCAAAGAATCAGTTGTATTTTTGTTTTTAAAGAAAGATTTGTACTTAAAGCAGTGCTGTGGGGAAAGGGCTTTTTTAAACCTTCCTCTTGCATCATGTGTCTCGGATGATTTAAAAGAAAGGGGTTGTAACATACGCACATGTGCGAACACACACACATGCACTCACATACACACAAACACACAAGCATATGCACATATGCACACAGGCTTACACACATATATACACACAGACATACACACATACTCATACACATACATATACACATCCATGCACCTGTACCACATACACATGCATATACGTTCATATACACAGTCACACAGAGGCATATACATACATACACAGACACACAAGGAAGGATACACACATATATACACAGGCTTACACACACACACACACACACACACACACACATGCACACACACCTTTCCTGGACTCTGGACTTTGTTGATCGCTGGAGGGAATGTGTGTATGAATGAAGTCTCTTTCTGTGGCTCTTTTTATGTTCGTGTGAGGAGTCCTGACTCCCATGGCCTGCCTCTCAGCCTTTCCAGTCAGAGGGGGTTTGTTCTGAAACAGCTGCCCTCCACATGGACTCTTGCCTTCCCACTAGGACAGTGTGGAGAAGGGTCAGATTGTCCCCAAACTCTAAGTTTCCTGGTGCTTGGAATCACTTCTCATATTGACTAGTAATTCTGCCCCGTGTCAGAGCTTGTGTGACCTAGGGTTTTCAAGAGTGGAGGGACAGTCCTCCTCCTCACCTCCCCCTCCCCCACACCTGTCTTCATGTTGGACCTCAGGTGCCATGGGGAGGTCGCTGAGGCAGAAGGTTGTTCCTGGCTACAGTATCCTGCAGTCTTATTTCTCGGCTTAAGGAATTGGTCCTGGGGTGTCCTGGGATGTCCTGGGATGTTCTGGGAGTGGGAAGTGACACTGGACTATCTGTCTTTACCCTGATGTCATGGAATTTTATGTCTTTATTTTGTCTTGTTTCTCCACAGCTCAGCATGAATGACTTCAGTGTGCACAGGATCATCGGCCGAGGAGGGTTTGGAGAAGTTTACGGCTGCAGGAAAGCAGACACCGGTAAAATGTGAGCCTCTGTCTTGTCTCATGGGACTGTTAAGGGGGCCTCGGTCCATAGAAAGAAATAGATGTTTGGATTTGGTCAGGAAGCCTGGCCCTCCACTTCTTAGGGCCCACTGGGAAGCTAACAGGATCCACACATGGAGTGACCGCATCAGGGAGCCTGTCCTGGAATTGCTACCTGCTCCCCTTCAAGCTTGATCCAGTGACTCATGGTGCCTTCCCTCGTGTTGGGATCCTGCTGAGCATGTGCCCAGGGCCTGAGTGTACTGACTGCTCATTCTTCAGTAGAAGATTCTATGAAAACCATCCTGGCAAAGGGTGGAAACTGGAGCAGCATGGGGAGCATTTTGAAGGTTCCTCATCAGAGACACATGGTTTCCCATGTTCTCAGGGCTCCGTGGTGTGGTTATGCTTCTTGTTGCCTCACAGACTGTTTTTCTTTCTTTTTTTTTTTTTTTTTTTGGTTTTTCAAGACAGGGTTTCTCTGTGTAGCCCTGGCTGTCCTGGAACTCACTCTGTAGACCAGGCTAGCCTTGAACTCTCAAACTCAGAAATCCGCCTGCCTCTGCCTCCCAAGTGCTGGGATTAAAGGCGTGCGCCACCACCGCCCGGCACAGACTGTTTTTCTATAGGTCACATGACAGAGTCTCAAGTAGCCCTGGTTGGCCCAATGCTCATTGTGTAGACCAGGCTGACCTCAAACTCAGAGATCCACTTGCCTCGGAGTGTTCACTGACACACTCTGCTCACTGTGTTTCAGTTACCAACCTATGAGTTTTCTGAGTTCTGGACTCTGATACCACCCCACCCCCCACCCCATTCGCCTGGCAGTTTGAAGCAAATGTGACAGTGGCAGAGAATTTTCTGCGCTTAAAACTCTTGTAACAACAAGTTAAGAATCCTCTCTCAGCTTCCCCCTGTTCTACCGAAAAGCATTTCTTGCTTTCCTCTGCCTGTGATTTATAGAATAAGCCAAACGATGGGCCAGTTTCCCTTGTGACTCAGTCACGGGTTCTCACAAGTTTTAAATTGTCATCCGAGCCGGGCGGTGGTGGCGCACGCCTTTAATCCCAGCACTTGGGAGGCAGAGGCAGGCGGATTTCTGAGTTCGAGGCCAGCCTGGTCTACAGAGTGAGTTCCAGAACAGCCAGGGCTATACAGAGAAACCCTGTCTCGAAAAACCAATAAATAAATAAATAAATAAATAAATAAATAAATTGTCATCGGGCCCCTTAGTTAGCCGGGATCAGACATGGAAAATCTTCTTGTCACCTGAAAGAGCGCAGGGCACGTGTGAGTGTAGGAGAATCCAGTTAGGGTCTTACAATAAGGAGTCCAAAGAGCTAAATCCGATCTATCCACTCATCTTCCCTGCTCTGGTAGCACCAGAGCGCATGTTAAATATTTATTATTTTTTGCTTCTGTCCTGTTTATCTAACGCATCTCTATCCACACGGCGTGAGAAATCCCTGTAGTACCCTGTGACTGCTTTCTCCCCACAGTGGAGATTTCCCCAGAGGTCATCTGGGCGCCATCTTGCTTCCTCTTGCTGTGATATAAATAACCTGGAAGTTGGTGTAGCGTGGCGTGGGTTCCCGGCCTAGACCACACCCTTGTCTTTATGTCCCCAGGTATGCCATGAAGTGCTTAGACAAGAAGCGGGTGAAGATGAAGCAGGGAGAAACGCTGGCTTTGAATGAGAGGATCATGCTGTCTCTCGTGAGCACTGGGGTGAGTAGGTCCCGTGGCTTCTGGCGTCTTGTCAGTTGCTATTGTCTGTCACAGCTGATCACAAAGTAGGTTGACCAGGGGAAGGTTAGGATGTGACACAGGACAGGCTCATGCTGGTTGGGTGGGGTTTGGTGCCTCTCTCTGAGCCTGAGGGGAGGCCTCTAGAACCAGCACCTTCCCCAGAGCAGTTCCCTTCTCCTGGCTTCCTTTTTTGAAGAGCGTGGTGCCCCAAGGGCAGACAGTTAGGATGATAAGAACACTCCAATGTGATTTTAAGATGGCCTGCAAGATGGAAAGCTAGCCAGAGGAGGAAAGATTGAGTCCTGTCTGCCAAAAGCCTGGCAGAGGGTGGGGCTTCGCCTCTGACTTATTTGTCTGGGAATGGTGTCAGGCATCCAAGCCTCAGCTTCAGAGCTGGAGACACGGTTTGGAGAATGAACCCTTGAGAAGCAGGCATGAGGCCTTGGGTTTGATCCCAGTACCATGACCACCACCACCACCACCACAACCCCTCAGTGGCCTTAACATGTTTGTATAGAGCCACCAAACAAGACAGCCCATCCAAGACAGCTCTCCTTGTTAAAATCTGTGCAGGTGTGTGGACACCACACGGCTGTCAGCCCGGGCTCAGAGCCAGCCAGAGCCTTAGGATGGAGTTGTACCATGGTGGAGTATACTATGCATGTGTAGCTGGCTGGTTTACCCTCCCTACAATAAGTGGAGGGCTCTGACTGTCACTGCGCAGACCATAGGCGGATGATTTCTGACAGTCACCTTCTGTGGGGCCCTGCTGACTGACACAGCTGGAGTCTATGCACAGTCCTCTCTGCCTAAAGGATTTGAAGGCATCAAACCTTAAGGGCTAAGAACCTGTTTCAGCCGGTAAGAGGGCTGCGGAGACCCCAGAACAGATCTGCCCCTTCTGGTTCTTAGCCACACTGAGCTCACCTTTTAAATCATTCCTTTGGAAGCAAAGTGGGTTTTTTTGTTCTGTTTTGTTTTTTTTGTGACCTGTTTTTATTGAATTGCGGTTGATAATGATCCCAGCACTTCTTTTCAGAGCTTCTAGAAGGATTGTTTGCTACTGAAGCAAAACAACCACGTCATTTAGGTGAACCGTTAAATGAGATCAGGGGCAGCGGGGCTCTAATTAACCCCTAAATTATGCAAGTTTGTCTTCCAACTCTGGACATTTAGCTTTATTTTTAATAAGTTATTCCAAAGCCCCGTTGGTTTTTAAGAAGTCCAATGGAGAATGACTTTTTCTTCCCTTTCTTTCTCTCTCTCTCTCTCTTTCTTTCTTTCTTTCTTTCTTTCTTTCTTTCTTTCTTTCTTTCTTTCTTTCTTTTTTTCTTCGATGTTGGAAAGGTACAAGGCCAGGTTGTATTCTTTTATATTTCTTTATATTTAATATTCTTTTAATATTTCCTTTATTCAGACTAGGGGGTGTGGGGGTGAGAAGTACACCATCTTTGCTTTGCTTCAGTCTAACCCGAAGGAAGTAAGCTTGAAATCCAGGTTGTATCAGGCCGCTAACTTGAACTAACTTAAGAGAATTAACCCTACACATGTTCAGATACTGAACTGTTTTGCTAATGACGACCCAGGTGCTTCAGCCTGGCACCACGCCAGGTAACTTGGGAGTGTAAGCACTCAGTTCTGCATGTCCTGGACACCATGTGACCCTCCTTCTGGTATCTGCTTAGTCCCCGGATCAATGAAGCTTGCTAGTCTTCCTCCCTTGCTGGGTGTGTTTCACGCTGTGTCAGTGAAAAGCACCATAGGGCTTGTGGTAAGCCAGTGAGAACTGTAGCCGATGGTGTTCTCTCTAGTCTCATTGGGGAGACTTACCCAAGGGGAGCAACTGAGCTCCAGACTAGTGTGTGGGGGCATGGGAGGTGTTCCTAGGTGTGGTGGGGGAGGGGATGGCCACAGGTGTTTTGTTCAGTCTCACGGTCAGTTTGGTCAGATGCCCAAGGGGGTCCATCCGAGTTTGCCATTGGCTGCTGTCAGGCTGTGACTTCTCCCACAGAGATGAGGGAAGGCTCTGGTGGCAGGTGTAGCCAGGCCAGAGGAAGTAGCTTTGGGTTTTCCCAGGTGGGCAGAAGTCATCCCAAGGGATGTGGTCTGAGGCTGGGGAAACAAGCCTTGTGTGTTAGAGAGTCTTAAACTGGAATGGCTTGCGTGCTCAGAACTCAATGGTCACGGCTGGGGCTGGTGGGAAAAAAACAATACTCAAATCCACCCAGCTGGAACTGGGTCAAGGGGAGCCTGTACTGGGCAAAACCACCTTATAAGGAGCAGTTGGGGGTTGGTGTTAGGGGATGCTCAGAGAACGTGGGGCTTCCATCATGGCTGGCTGGCCATTTCTTTGTGGCCTCAGGCAAGAAGTTCCCTATTCAGGGCTTGGCTTGCTGGTCTTTAAATAAGGAAGCGAGACCATCTGGGTTGTTTCTCCTCCTCCTCCTCCTCCTCCTTCTTCCTCCTCCTCCTCTTCTTCCTCTTCTTCCTCCTCCTCTTTCTCCTCTCCCTCCTCCACTTCTTCTTTCTACCCCCTCTAATTCTAAATTCTAACTCTAAGATGTGTTCCCTACCTTGCTAAAGATGCTGGGCTGGCTGTCATTACACAAGCCACTGTGTTGCAGATCTCCCCTGTGAGGTTGCCTGGTGTCCTGGGTACAGTTCCCCACTCCAGCTGGGAAAGACCCTGGTTTTGCTGAGTTTCAGGTTCACCTACTTCTCTTTTCCACTGAGCTGCCCATTAGGTCACAGGGCATGTGTTTAAGGGGGCCCACTGAGGATGAGGGGGTAAGTGTGGCACGGGAAGGTTACGGGAAGATCTGGAGAAGCATAGAGACCTGCATTGGCTAGTTTGTGTTAACTTGACACAAGCTGAGAAGAGGGAACTTCAACTGAGAAAATGCCTCCATAAAATCAGGCTGAAAGCAAGCAATGCATTTTCTTAACTAGTGATTGGTAGAGAAGGGTCCAGCTCGTTGTGGGTGTGGCCAGCCCTTTGTGGGTGTGGCCAGCCCTTTGTGGGTGTGGCCATCCCATTGTGGGCGGGGCCATCCCTGGGCTGGGGTCCTAGGTTCTATTAGAAAGCAGGCTGAGCAAGCCATGAGGAGCAAGCCAACAAACAGCACCCCTCCATGGTCTCTGTATCACCTCCTGCCTCCATGTTCCTGTCCTCTTCCTGTCTTGGCTTCCTTCAGTGGACTGTGATTTAGGATGTATAAGCCAAATAAACCCTTTCCTCCCCAAGTTCAGTCTCTTCGTTTCAGCAATAGTAACCCTAACTGAGACAGGGTCCCAGAAGGCCACTGGCTCATGGGAGGATAGCTCTGTGCTTCATGTACTTGAGAATGCACAACTCAGAGTCAGCAAATTCACCATCTCAGCAGACCACAGGCCTGCAGAGGAAGCTGTCAGTCATCCTGACCCAATTTTCTCTAGAAGACTTATGGAAATGACTCCAAGTCTGTATGTCCATAGTTTATAGCGCATACCAACCCAAAATCATCTGCACACCCCTAACATGGAGATTTCAGAGTCTGTTACTTCATGTTTTATGGGTGTGCACTCTTTTGCTTGAGTGTGGAGGTCAGTATAAGAGGTCAAATGTCAGGGGTTACTCTCAGGTTGTTGGCTTTCTCCTGTGTTTTGAGATAGAGTTTCTCTCTGGTCTGGGGCTCAACCATTGGGCTAGGCCAGCTGGCCCGGGAGGGAGACCCAGGGCTCACCTCTCTCTGCCACCATGTGTTGGGGTCCCAAGAGCATACAATCATGCCTAGCTCTTTAATGTGGGTTCTGGAGATCAAATCCAGATTGTCTTGCTTATATGTCAAGAATCTTACAGACTGAGAGTCTCCCCAACACTGACATTTTAAGGAAGTTATGTAGTGAGAATTTATGTGTTTATGCTTTTGTTTTAATCCCAGGTGTGGGATATGGGGCTGTTTCAGTTTGCCCACAGCCATTAACTATGATTGTCTCGTGGTCCAGGAGGGGTGTGATTTTTGCCAGCTGAAGACAGGTTAAGTTTGGAATTCTGGGGACTCTAGAGAGGGTATAAACTCGAATGCCCCAAGGGCTGGGGATGGTAGTTGGTTCTCTTGCTGCTGCTGGTTTCTGCTGGCTTGCTGTTTTGCTGGCTTGCTGGGTGAAGCTATCCTGATGACTGAGATTGGACTTGCCTCTAGGAATTAAACAACTCTAGTCAGCAGCAAGTTGTCTAAAGGGATCTACACTCCCTACAACTTCTAACTTTCTTTCCCTCCTACCTAGTGTTGGGGGTTGGAAGGGATTGGGGTGGAGACAGGTGGTAGATATCAGAGCCCGATAAAGTAGCTTCAGAAAGTACACCTGCAAGGTTATACTGGGGAAACTTCAACCCTCCTTTGGATTTTAATAACTCACAGTGTTGAGAAAGACCATATTGTATGGCAGGCTGAATTGTACCGTAGGTCATATTGTTGCTGAAGCTTGCTAGTGGCAAGAACATGGGAAGAGTCTAAACTGATCCTGTGCAGGGTCCAGCAGAGAATCCTGCTGAATCAGGATCTGAGAGCCAGTGAATGGTCAGCAGGAGATGGAGGTTTGTCAGGAGCCTGAAGTCCTGAAGTCACCCTGAGGCTTGAGACACCAGCTCCCTGCCCAGGCCATGCCTCTCCTGAGCTCTCCCAAGGTGGCTGTCTCTGCTATTAGCCTGGACCTGCCTGTGGCTGTTTCTGCTTCTCTCCCTGAGTGTGAGATAGCCCTTGTTGCTGTATGTAACAGCTGCTCCTGGTATAGCTGAAGAGTAGGGTTGGCAAAAGCTGTGTGGCACTGTTGCCAAAGCCAGCCCGTGATCCAAGAATGGCTAGTCCATATCTAGAGGCCTTGTAAGGAAAGGACACAGAGAACCGGTGTCAGACACTGGGTGTAGTCAGCAGAACCTGAGCTAATGTTGAGATCCAGAGTCTTGTGCCACAGTCATGTGTCCCCTCTCCAACTCTCCCCTGAGGCCTTTCCCAGGCTAGGCTAATCCAAGCAGAGGTGTTAGGCAGTTCTTGAGATAGCCCTCCCACACCCATAGTGCAGATGGACACCGACTGTCTACTTGGTGTGGAGTGGCCCAAGTCATGTAATGTACAACCCAGGTAATAGCTCCGAACAGCTGGCCCTGGGTCAGCACCATGCGCTAATGGTGGTGGTCATGCAGAGTACGTGGCCGGGCGGTGTTTCTGCTTTGTTGACTAGATGCTCAGCTGTTGAGCACTGATAGAAAACACTGACCCACCCGTGGCCTTGTATGTTATGTTTATTGCACTCAAGAGACCATCTACATGTGTTCTTTGCGGGGCTCCTCTGTTAATCATTTTGTGCTTGAGCTTAGGGCCGTGCTATCTGAACTACATTTTTAAGTATGTGTATGTGTGTTTACCTGTGTGTATACCTGTGTGTAAACATATGCATGTGTGTTTGTGCATATACATATATGTCCTTGTGTCTTTGTGTTCATGTGTGCGTACCTATGTGTGTGAATGCATGCATAGACATGTACATGTGTGTATGTGCATATACATATGTGTACTTATGTACATGTGCATGTACCTGTGTGTGCATGTATGTGTAGACATGTGCATATGTGTAGTGCATATACATATATGTTTTTATGTCATGTACACGAGTGTGTGTCCTTGTATGTGTATATATCTGTGTACCTGCATAAATCCATTTGTGTATGCATATATGCACCTCTGTGCATACATGAGTGTGCATGTGTCCATGTGTATATAGCACATGTGTATCTATATGTATGTGTGCATCTTTACATGTATATGTGTGTATGCATGTGTGCATCTATGTGTGTGTATGTATGAGTGTATATATGTATCTGTGTATGCATATGTGGATCTGTGTGTGTGTGTGCGCACACACGCTTGTGCACACGTGTGCATGCTAACCCTTACAGAGGAGTATGGGATGCTCACCCATGTGTGCCTGTGGAGGCCAGGGGTAGATGCTGATTTCCTTTATTGTTCTATACCTTGGTTTTTGAGACAAGGTCTCACAATGAACTTGGAGCTAGCTCATTGACAAGGCTAGACCGAATAGCCAGCGAACCCAAATGACCCTTTCCTCTCTGCATCCCCAGTGTGTGCTTAACTGTTCATTCTTTAATGCGTGTGTGGGGTGTGTAAGCTCAGGTCCTCTTCATGCTGTGCAGTCCCACAGGTCCCTCCCCTAGCTCCATAAGGAGTCATCACATTTACCGCCGTCACTTTTCCTGGCTTGTTTTTCTTAAAGCGTGTCTATACTTTCTGACTGTTTATAGTCCTGTGCACATTAATCAACCTGTCAACATTCATTTCTATTAGGTTTCTGTGGGATCCGTGGACGATTCACGGAACATGGACGCCCACTTATGTTGGGTTACTCAGTCACGTCAGTCACTCTACATGTTTTCCACCTCCAAAAGCTAATTTCATTCTAATAACACAAATGAAAAATAACTGTTCTCTCATTTGACTCTCTGAGTTCAAAGCAGAAATTCAAATTCGTAATTGGCTGGCCAGGACTCAAACCTTGGACAGCAGAGACCAGCAGGGTAACAGCAGCATCCTTGGTGGCTATGGTGTTTTGGAGAGGCCCAGATGCAAAAAAGGACAGTGCCAGGGTGAATCGGGGTGAGAGAGTACCCTACATCCTCCTGTTCCATCGGTGGGCTGTGTCTCTGCTCTTTGTCATCTGCTGGATCTGCGGCTCTGTGGCTCCTCAAGTGGCCAGCATGTGTCATAGCATGTGCTGAGGAGAAGGCTCAGCAGGAGTCCCACCATGGGGTGTTTGGCAGTGGGATGCTCTCTGGGGCATCTTCTGTCCGTCTCACTTCGGTTTCTGTTTGTCCACTCTAGGACTGTCCCTTTATCGTCTGCATGACCTATGCTTTCCACACGCCGGACAAACTCTGCTTCATCCTTGACCTGATGAACGGTAAGCGAATCCCAGATGTCTGGCTGCCATGTGACTCTTGCAGGGTTCCCTCCGAGCCCGTGGCCCCCAGACACACTGGCCTCCATGAGTCTGTTCCATAATTAGACTCCCATTGTAGTTTAAGGGCATCCTTGCCCTTTGTTTTTTTTTTTTGTTGTTGTTTGTTTGTTTTTGGAAGATCCATCTTGTATCACTGGCTGTGATTTCTCCCAACCTGCCATTTTTCTGTCCTGGATGCTGGGTCTAGAAACTTCTCACAAAATAAATACTGGGCCGTGAAGTATTGCTCTGTGGACTACAGCTGGCCTCGGTCTTTAATTAGCTTATTTCCTGGTCTCAACTCTTAGGAATGAAATATCTCCCAAGAACACAGGCCAAAGATAGACATGCATTGAGAAGCTGGCTTTCAAGGGCTGATTTATGTGGATTCTGCCTTTTATTTTCTGTGCCTTCTGAGTCCTTGGGACTCTACGTTCATCTCTGAAACCATGAACAGCCACCCCAAATGGCACAGACACAAAATGTTCATCCGGAAAATGTTTTCAGTGTGAGAATGTGGGATCTGAGCACTCGGAGTATTTTTAGGAAAAGCTGAAACAGAATATGAACTATTCAGACGCTCAATTGCTTTTTTTTTTCTTTTTTCTTTTTCAGTTCCTTCAAGTTTTATTATGTTTTGCGTGTGTGATTTGAGCTCACATCTAGCCCCAAAATAGGAAGGACAAAGATTGGTAATGAGTTAAAGACGATACCAGAGCCAACAGTGCAGGCCGTGTGTGGGTGTGTGGCTGTGTGGGTCTATGTGGTGTGTGTGGGTGTGGGTGTGGTGTTTGTGTGTTTGTGTGTGTGTGGTGTGTGTGGTATGGTGTGTGCTTGTTTGTGTGCTGTGTGCTTGTGTGTGTGTAGTGTGTGTGTGGTGTGTGTGTGTTTGTGTGTGTGCTTGTGTGTGTGTAGTGTGTGTGTGGTGTGTGTGTTTGTGTGTGTGTGTGTGTGTGGTGTGTGTGTGTGTGGTGTGTGTCAAAATAGGAAGGACAAAGATTGGTAATGAGTTAAAGACGATACCAGAGCCAACAGTGCAGGCCATGTGTGGGTGTGTGGCTGTGTGGGTGTGTGTGGTGTGTGTGTGGTGTGTGTGGTGTGGTGTGTGCTTGTGTGCGTGTCTGTGTGTGTGGGGCGTGTGCTTGTGTGTGTGTCTGTGTGTGTGGTGTGTGTGTGT